AGTGGAAAGTGGCATACAGGAAGGTGAAAATCCCTATTGGTGGAAGGAACCACTTCCTGCTTAGAGCCATTTCCTGCTTGGATCCACTTCCTGCTCAGATCCACTTCCTGCTTGGATCACCTTCCTGCTCAGAGCATCTTCCTCTTTAGAGTATTAAGTAAAAAAATGGCTGCCATTGTACTTATAGAAATACACTTTACTCCTCTTTTCTGTCCCTTTTCCCAGGGTACACTATCCAACCATCTCATTTCCAATGGTGTGTAGGTAACATTTGCAAGATCCAAGAGGCTGAGAATCCTTTCCCTTCTGTATTAGCCTATTAGAACAAAGACTGAACCTATACCAGTGATGTCATTATTTAACCCCTACACCATAGATTTAAATGTCTGGTTTACCTGTATGCCTGAGCTAGGGTCTTTATGGCCACACAACTGGTGTCGGCCATCTCCCTGTCACATGCTCCTTAGTGATGCAAATTAGGTAGGCACACCCACTTGCCTTGGCATGTTTTATAGTTGACCCAAGCTGCAAACACCAACATGTATAAGACATATGCTCTCTTCTTTGTGTAATTTCAGGCACCAAAATATGCCTACACATAGGGGTGTGTGCACACAGACACACGCGTATTCTTTTTTGCCTGGTAGAAATATGCTTCTGTGATGTTCCTTCTACTCCCACACATGCCCCTCCATGGTTGGCACATCTCCTAATTATTCCCATCTACTCCCTCCCCATAGACCTTTTGTGTGTATATTTTGGCACATATTCTCTTGATTCTGCCTAGTTCCTCTTTCTCTCTTTTTCTTTCCCTGCCTCCCTCCCTCTCCCTCCTCTTCACAACTCCTTAGAAAATTTGTTAAACTATACACTCTTTATTATTAATGTGCATTTATGAAAAATTCTTCACAGTTACAAAAGTGCATGGTTATAAAATCATCTCCATACAAAGTTTGGCATCTTCCCCTTCCCTGCCCCTCCCTAACCCTCCCACCCCCAGACATCAGCATTCCACAGGACAGTGCTTAGAAAAACTGAGAGCTCAGTGGATCCAGAGCTCTCTATCCAATGCTGTGGCAAACATGGCGGTGATTTACACAAAACCTTGCAACTTGCCTCCTTCACTTTCCTTTTGCCTTCTTCTGAGGTGGGTAGAGCAGACAAGTTTCTCTAGCTTTGGGAAAATTTTCTTCTGAGGAATGAGCAAAGATGTCTCCTTATACTCTTCTAGAGCTGAAAAGGATGCCAGAGCAATATCAACAAAGACTTCTACAAGGAAAATGGAGGTTGTAGGTCTTTCCTGATGGTTGAAGAGAAATGCCTCTCTTGGTTTGTTCAAATTCCATATACCATCTTCCTTGAGAAGAGCTAGCAAACTCTATAGCAACTCTGGAGACCTATTTCTGCAAGATTCCCTGGTAATCCCTAAAGGAATGGAGAAACAGATGAAGGATTGTCTGAGGGTAACCATAAGCAACTGGTCCAGAGTGGTGTGGTGCAGATTGGGGACTTTTCTAAAAAACATTTTTCTTCATCCAGACTTTGACCGTCACAGCTCTGTTGGTTAGCTAAACTTTGATATCCTCAAGCCCAACATGAAGGAAGCTTCTGTGATAAGGACAAATGTCTGAGGGATAGAGAACAGAGGGAAGCAGTCAGGCTGTTGCTGGGCTGCCTCAGCCACATATTTTTCTCTTTTTATACTTTTATGAGCAGCTCTACCTAACCCAACCCTAATGGGATTCCATATTAGTGTATCAAGTGATTAAATAAACAGATTGCCAAGTAATGTCAGAGAACTGAACTCAAGTTCCAGAGAAATTGGCCCCATATCAGTAGATACCCAACATATAAGGAACCTCATGAACCGAGGTTCCTCATGAACAGACACATAGACTCAAAGATACACCAACATTTACATGTTAACTAGTCTGGAAAAAAACATATTCAAGACTTGTAGGGATACCATCATGGTTTCTTGGTCAGAAGGGTTGTGTGAACATTTCCAACTAGAGCAGTTAGATTACCTCTAGATAAGTGTGCTTCTAGAAGCTTGCCTCTGATAGCCTGTACAAGATGGTGGTGGGAGAAATGGAATCCCTTGGCAGTAAGGGAGTTTTATTATTGTGCTTTAGTTAACTGGGGACCTTCTAGTAGCTGGAGAAGAATCTGTCCTTTAAAACCCTGTATCCTACTCAGAAAGGTGTGCCATTAACGGGGACCAAAGAGTCTCCTTAGAAAGGACATTTGAATTCAAGGGGCATTTGGCATCTTGTTTGGTTCTAGTTCTATGCAAAAAAGATACATCTCTTAAAATATATTAACTACATTTCAGCAAATAAGAGTCTCTAAGAGATTATAATAGATGTATATGGTGTCCCTCTATGGGAGGCTTAACTATTTGTGTCAGGACTATTATTTCTAAAAGTTTCACCCCAAATACATTAGGTTATTAGCTTGACTGATGAAGAGCGGCCCCAGCCCATCTGTCCCTAGGAATAGTGGAAGAAGAGAGCAGGCACAGTTCTGCTCCAGATGTCACAAGAGTGGGGCTCTTGCTCAGATGTTGTATGTGAGATACAAGGGACACTAGGTTCAAGTACCTCAGGTTCAGCAAAGTTTCTGGGTGCTCTTTTGGTTGACTAGCTCAGGGAAGCATGAGTAAGGGAAGACTTCTTGGAAGATGACATGTTATTTTTCTTTATTCCTTTCCTAAGAGGATGGGATGATGCAAAATTGTTGGAGCTGGGGGCAAGGGAGAAAGCCCCTGTTTTAATCTTCATCCTGGCCAGCTTTTCCAACATGTTGGACTGTTCCTTAATGTCTTCCCCTGCCCTGCTGAGGTTCTCACTCCATCTGTCCTGCACACATTGATCTCTTGCAACACAACACAGCAGGGCTTGAATATGAGGGGTTAGCACAGCTTCCTCTCTTGTTTCCCAAAGAACTTCTTTTTTGCATGATTTCCATCAAGACCACCAGTTCTAATGTGTTATCTGCACATTGCAAGGCAGATGTCTCCTATTCAGGTGCTATTTGTGTTGCTCCTATGTTTCAGAGGCTGTGACTTGCTCTACTGTGAGCACATCTAAATCTATGCAGAAGATGGGTTTTACTACCTTTTATTTAGCTGATATACTGAACGTTCATGACTGCTGAATCCAAGGGCCCTACTGCCCAGCCATTCTGGGCATTCTCTTTCCCAAGCACCTGGGAAAGCTGGAGAGAGGACCGAGTTGGAGTCGAGTCCCAATTTACTGCTTTGGCAAGTCACACCTGCTCTTGGGTCTCTATTTTTCCAGTCTGTAAAATAGGAGCAATGATATTTGGTTTGCCTCCCACATAGGGTTGTGAAAAGTCAAGAATGATGCCACAGCATTTTAGGAGCTGTCCAGTGCTGAAGAGATATAGGGAAGAAGCTGATGAAGTGATGGCAAAGATGGAGATGACATCAACAATGATGATAATAGTGCTTCACACATCAAGTTACTTGATTTTTGACAGACTGATTAGACACAGTTTCCCTGAATAGAGCTGCCTATTCACCTTCCTTCTAGGGTTTACCCAGATAACCTTGGGTAATATAATCATCTCCCTACACTTAATTCATCTGTAAAATGGGAATAATAAAAACCACCAGGCAGTGTTGCTGTGAGAATTGAAATAAATAAGTCAATAAGTTTAAAAGTGACCAGAAGAGTGCCTGGCCCTTGTGGGGAGCACTTATTCATCAGCACTACTTGAATTCAAACTTACATAACTTCAGAGTGAACTGTGATGCTCCCCAGCTCGGAGAGGGTAGAAAGAACACAGATTTTATTTTGCTTGTTAAGCAACGTGTGACTTTGAACTCTCTCTGAACACTTCTTTACTCATTTGTGCAATGGGAACAACTATGCTTACCTCAAAGATTGTTGTATGCATTAAAATGAATTGTCTGTGGAGAGAGCTTATCACAGTGCCTGACACTGGCAAGTGCTTGGTAATTAATAGCTCTCATACCCTGATGCTTGGATGGGTGAATTGCTTGGAAGAAAGAGAAAATTCTCCTATGGTCACAACTCTGGTGGTCTTCCATTCCTTCAGTCCTGGCTATCCTCATGCTACAGTGCACTTTCTTGATGAGATCCTTTGGTGTGAGCACCGTGGCAAGAACAGTCACAGGATTAGGAGTTCCAGGGTGCCGGGACTTTTGCTGTCCCGTTGCTGGACCTCCTGCTTCCCTCTCCTGAAGGCAAAGCTCAAGTGAGAGGCAGGAGACAGGGTAGGAGAAAGGACACTGAAAGTGTTCACCCTCAGCTTGGTACCTGGGACCTCACTGGCAGGCTGCATTTGGTGGACATAATTTGGGAGGCAGTCAATAAGAGGGGGTCTCACCTGGTAGCTCCTGGTCAGAGGCCTAGGGGGCTAGCATGGAGGTATTCTCTCCTTCTGGAGGCAGTGTTGGGCAACTCCAGGAGTTGAAGGATTGGGTGTCAGAGGGAAGTTTTGGTCCTGTGCCACATCTGCTCTATACACTTAAGTTACAAGGATTGGTCACTGTTCTCAACACACCATGCGTATTTTGGCCTCCGTCATTTGCTCATGCCCACCTTTCTTTGTATACTTGACAAAGCAGACATTTTTTGATGACTCAGTTCACAAATTGCCTCCATCCTTGTAATTCTTGCAGACTTTTCTAGACACATTGATGACCCCCACTCTGAGCTTTCACAAGTATGTGCTCAGAGTGCCAACAAATTGTCCTAAAGGGAATAGTTTTTGAATCTGTCTCTTCTATTAGAGGTAAGAGTCTAGGGGGCCAGGGACTAGGCTAGAGTAATCTAAAATTTCCAGTTCTGGCACAGTGTCTGGACCACAGCTGAAGATCACATAAACGTAGTTTCCTGACTTTGCTTGGGTCATGAAGTGTCCAGGGTCAGCATGGAGCCAGAGTGAGCAGTGTCCAGTGGTCAGCAGCAGTGGTGGCCAGCAGTATGAAGAGACACCAGGCACCCACATCAGATCTCTTCCTCTTCACTGGCCTTGCTCCAACGGTGGCAGCAGTTGGCTGTGATCCCCAGGAGGAAGTTGGTGACCACGGAGGCAATGGAGACCACGAAACCCACAAATGCGATGAAGAGGTAATCGTCCAAGGTCAGGGTCAGGTGGCAGGCCTTGAAGCTCTCCTCAGTGAGGGAGAAGAGTGGGGCACCCTCGACTTCAGGGGGCCCTCGGCACTCAGCCAGTTGAGAATCTGCAACACAGAACCCAGAAAAGGTGAGGGGCCAGAGGAGAATGAGTGGAATGGAGAGTTGCCCGCCCCTTCCAAGAGAAATTGAGTCTTTTATTGAGTTTCTATGTGTCAGACATTTTACTTACCTTCTTTACTCTCCTCAACAACCCTTGAATCAAATATCTTATACCTGTTTTTATAGTTTTGGACATCGTTGCTCAGAGAGTTTAGTAACTTGCCTCAAGTCCAATAGCCACTACTGATGATAGATCTGGGGTTTTCTTGTGACATTTTCATCTCTTACAGTAGCTTCCTAACTAGTTTCTGGGCTTCTGCCTTTAAACCATCTCATTGCAGTTGGCTGAGTATCTTTCTCACCTGAAGTCTTGTCATGTACTTTGTGCTTGAAACCCTCCCCTGACTTCTTACCTTCTCATGGAATGAAAGCCAACGTCCTCACTGTGGGCCATAAGGACTCTTCTTTCCCTCTGCTTCTTGTTCACTCTGCTCCATCCACACACACTTTTTGATCATTCTTCCATCACATGAGCACGTCCCTTTTCAGGGTTGAGAGTGTGAGAGTGCATTTGTCCTGTGTGAGAGTGCTTCTCAGCTGAATCTTGGGCCAGCTCAGTCCCTCATTCCTTTGGGATTTTGTTCAAATATCACCTTACTAATGAGTCTTTCCTATATGAGTCTATATGACATAGTAACTCCACACCACCTCTCTCTGGGCATTCTCTACTTCCCTACTCTGCTTAATTTCTTTCCATTGTATTTATTAAGTCTCACTGTTTCTTTATTATATATCTTCTCCTTGAATGTAAGTTTTTCCCATGGTGTCCCTAGTCATTGAACAGTGTCCTGTCCATTTAAGTGCTCAATGAAACTTTGTTAAGTGAATATGTGGATGAATGACTCTGTCCAACCTGAAAGCACTGGGTCTTTCTACTATCCCATGTGGTTTCTCCAGAGATGTAGAGTATAGGGTTATGCGTATGGGCTCTGGAGATGTTGGTCTGGCTTCAAATCCCCTCTCTACCCCACACTAGTTGTGTGATTGTAGGTGAGTTGTTTAACCCCTCTGTGTCTTGCTTTCTTCATCTATAAAATGACAATATTGATAGTATCTATAACATAGGGCTGTAGTGAGGACTCAGTGAGTTAAAATGTATAAATAATATATTCTTGGTGGATAATAAGCACTATGTAAACATGTGCTTTTGTTATTATCCTAGGTTGGTCTCCCTGGACAGGCCAGTGAGGGTCATATTCTGCAGATAGTCTTCTGTAGGAGAGGCTTCTCCTTCAGTGGGATTACTTTTCTCTCCATTATTGATGGTCCCACCTCACCCTTCCAGGGTCACTTGTACAAACACATGGTGGTTGTCAATGGTTTCATTTTACTTTGCTTTGAAGGTAAGAGTGGTGTGCCATGCACTAGCCTTCCAACAGGCAGCCATTCCTTTGCTCAGTGTATAAGCATTAATCAAGCTCTCACCTTGGGAAAGTCTTTTTTTTTTTTTTTTTTCCCCTTCCTGGCTCTCATGCTCTCTCTCCGTCAGAAGGGGATAATTCAACCTAAATTGTCTAGGAGAGTCAATATGCAGAGCTTTTCTAAATAAGGTGGTGCATAAATGTTATTTATTCATCCGGTAGTTTTTGAAAGCAAAGAATAAAATGATGGATTTGGATTGACCTTTTCGAGAAATGGATACACATCATTCTCCTTAGAAATGAGGAGTCAGTTTTGGGGGAGAATATGCAGTCTGCAGTCCAGGTGGAGGGGTCCCTGTTGGCTCTATGCACAAGCACTCCAGACTCTGTTCAGGACAAGATGGTGTCTGGACTTGCCCACCAAGGGCTCTCCTCTCAGAACCGGAAGATGCAGAACTCCAAAGTCTATTGTATGCATGACTGGGGTGGTGGAAAGACAAAGTGAAGTTAGGGAATGTGGGAAAACTGAGGACAATTGGTATGGACCCAGAAGAGGAGGCTTTGAGGGCAGCTGGCAGGACCCCAGGGGAGTTCAGGATGGGACCCTGAGGGCTGATGAAGCCCTCTGGTAATTCACAGGGCCAGTTTTGAGGTTGAGTGTATTCCAAGGGCTCCCTTTTGTCCCTCCCTGTTGGGATTTGTCCAAAAACTATGGATAATAGTAGGAGAAGAAAAAGAAGACAAAGGGAAGATGACTGCCTGGTCCTCCCTACGCTGGCAAGTTTTTTGCGCCCAAGAGGAAATATCCTGGAGGGTGTGATGTGGTGAAGAGCTTGTTCTGTGGAGAGTAGGGAACCTAGGTTTCTAGCTGTGGCCAATAGACGATTACTTTCCCTCTCTGGGGCTTGGATCCCTCATCTGCATTGTCATGAGGCTGCCTGGATGGGATCTTGGACCCCCTTTCTGCTCCCCAGGAGGCTGTGCTTCTTCTGAAGGGCAGGAGGGGCCTCAGAGATCATAGGAGGAGCCCCTGAGTGTGGTGGAAGCTGTACTCCAGGATGCCCTTTCTGTCCTTAGTACACAGGAGACAGGTGATGGCTTGCAGCCTGCAAGGGACAAGCAGGTGGGGAGATGGCTCCAGGCAGCCTCCCCCTCATGCCCCCTAGCATTGCCCCATCTCTGTCCCCAGCTATTTTGTTCCTGGAGAACTTCCTCCCACAACTGTGTAGAAACAGTGGAATCGTGACCCACACCCCTCCCCCAAACTATTTTGGTCCTGGGCTCCCCACTCAGTCTTCCTTTCCCTCCTACCTCATTCAGCATAGTTCCTTTGGAGCACATGCTGAGCCAGCCTCTGGGAAAGCCCCTGAGATGGTGCCCCCAGCTATTTCCTGTCATTCTACTGCAGGGTGCTGGTGCCAAGACTCAGCACTGCCACAAAAGAGAGCCAGTGACTGGGGGCCGCAGCTGAGCATTGCCTGCCTCCAGGTGAGGCTAGGGACCATCAGACCTCTGTGATTCAGTCTCTATTGGTTCCCGGTGCACCCCCAATAGGGACTGATTGGTTAACCTGTGATATCCATTTCTTGTCTCAGCTCCCCACTCCATATGCAAGCCTTGCAGAGCTCTGCTAAGGTCCTTTGGCCAGTCCAGAACTCAGTCCTTGACTCTTCCTGTTAGCTTTGTACCTGATTCTTCAGGATATAGCCAGAAGGCAGCCAGACTGCCAGAGTTTGAATGCTGAGTCCAACACTTAGCAGCTGTGTGGCTTTGGGCAAGTTACTGAACCTCTCTGCCCCTTGGTTTCTTTCCTTATAGAACAGCGTGTGTAGGGGTCTCATCAAGGTTCTTATGAGGATGAGATGAGCTAAATATGAAATATGTTTAGGATAAAGCATAATAGTAAGTCCTGGCAGATAGTAAGTACTAAAATAGTGTTTGCTCATTTCTATTTCTTTGAGTTTTTCCAGCACATTGAATACTTTAAAAAGCAGCCTGATAGAGTAGAATAAGGCGTAGAAGTCAAATAAACTTGGGTTTTATCCATGACCCCCCTACTTTCTAAACGAGTGACCCTGGATATGTCTTTTCATTGTTCTAGATCTCAGTTTCTTCACCTGCAAAATAGGAGTCACAATAGTGGGGGTAGATCATGCATTCCAAGTTCTTGGGTCATGGTGAAAGCTTCATCACATGCTATTATTGGCTCCTCTCGTTTACTATCTGTCTGCCTCAGTAGGTCCTAAGTGCCTCAGACGCAAGGGTGGTGTGTGTTTCATGAGCGAATGGGTCCCCGGCTCCCAGCCAGCACAGCAAGGACTTAACGGGTAATACTTGTGGAGGGACAGGGCTGGTGTACACAGAGGTCAGCGCAGAGCAGGGCACGAACTGGGTGCTAAGAGTGCTCAGTCCCTCCCTGTTCTTTGGAGCCTTTGCTTGCAGTAAGGCAAGGCTCTCTGTGCCCCTGGCTGCCCAGTCCTGCTCCCACCCCCGCCTTACCCGCGGTACAGCGCTGTATCCGGTTCCGCAACCACTTCAGCAAGGGTTCCATGGTGCAGCCGCACACCCAGGGGTTGCCGCCGATCTGCAGGGTCACCAGCCCTGGCAGGCCCTCGAGGGCTTCGAGGCTGAGGAAGGCCAGGCCCCCATAGCTGAGGTCCAGGTCTCTGAGCTGCACCAGGCCCTGGAAGGCCTGGGGGTGCACCCTGCGCAGCCACGGGTTGTGGCTCAGGTCGATGTGCACGAGGCCGTGGGCTTCTTGGAACATGTCGGCGGGCACGTGGCTGAGATTGTTGTAGCTCAGGTCCAGGTGTGCCAAGCGCTTGGAGTGGAGGAAGAGGCCCGGGGGCAGCTCCATCAAGGAGTTGTTACGCAGATCCAACACCCGGAGCTCCACGTAGCACGTGAGGTAGCCGGGCGGCACGGCTGCGATGCGGTTGTGGGCCAGGCTGAGGTTGCGAGTGTCCATTGGCAGGTCTGGGGGCACGGAGAACAGCCGTTGGCTGCTGCAATCCACCACCTGGTTATGGCACGTACAGAGGACCGGGCAGCTAGTGCCGGCATCTGAGCGCATCACCCCAGATGCCAAGAGGAGAGAGACCAGCAGCACAGCTGGGTGAGGGGTCCCAGGCCAGGGCAGCTGGGACCAAGTGTCACCCATTTTAGGAAGCTGACAACAGCGATGCTGAAGGGAGCCCACTGGGGCTGGGGCTGTGTCCATGAGTCCAGAGTCAGTGGCTCAGAAAGATAGCTACATCAGGGCCAGAGCCCTGGAAGGTGGGGCTTCTGGGCACGTGGTATCATGGCTCAAGCCTTTCGCCGGAGCCTCCAAGCACCAGAGAGCTCCCTAGGTGAGAGCCACAGGATGTTCCCTTTGGAGCCCAGGGGGCAATAAATCCAGCCGAGGCCCCACAGAGTCTGAAAAGATGATCAAAACGTGAGAGAGGAAGGAACTGAGGATTGGGCTGGACCAGCTGCCCCCAGGTCCTGGAAGGGTCCATGTAGATCTGTGTTCCTTTCACACATGACCACTGGGTGCTTCCTCTCTGTATTACGTTGGACAGGTGGTGGAGGGGGTGAAGGGTATGAAAGGTGCCTGTTGAAGGTCTTGGCACGTCTAAAAACCCTGAGCCCTGTCCCAAGTTTGGGACCAATTAGGAGGCCAGGGCTGCATGTGGGTCTCCAGCATTTGAGGTCTCAGAAGCCATTTCTTCTGGTGGCCCAGGGGGCTCGAGTCCAAGGGGGTCCTGGGGTGGGTGTTTTGGGAAGGGAGCCTGGGGCAGAGTGGGTCTCCATGGGCCGCCTCCTGAAAGCCCAAGTCCTCAGCCTCAGCATCTACTGAAATCCCCAAGGAGCCTCTTCTTTCCCCAGGTTGGGGAGGACCCCAAGTGACACCCACTGTCGGCTGCCAAGGCTGGAAAGAGCCATGTGTCCTGGACGTGCAGGATGGGGGTCAGCTAGGACTGCCTTGGCGACTTCTTCCCAGCCAGTGCTTCTCTCGCAGCCCAGCTCTGTGTTCAGCAGGCGGGGGCAGAATTCCCTCTGTCAACAAGGAAAGCACTCAGGTGGAGATCTCCAGTGCCCTCCCCTCCCTGCTGTCCCTCTTAGGTTCCCTGCCCCCCTTCTTCTCTGCCACCAGCCACAGAGTTCTCTGCATGCTGTGCGTCAGGTGCGGGCAGCAGTGGGCTCAGACCCCACCCTCACATTGTGGTTGCCTGTCCTCCTAGGGTTCTGTCCTGGGTGAGATGATTTGCTTCTCCTCCTAGCCTCAGCCTTCAGCACCAAACACCCCACCCCTGGGCAACTCTCTAGAGCAGGCACACAGCTGCTGGCCTGGCGGTTTGCATACCTCTTTCAGAGAGGGTTTAGCTCCCTTCTCCCTCTTTCACCCTCTCCCTCCCTTATCTCCTCCCTCCTCTCTCTCTCTCTCTCTCTCTCTCTCTCGTTCACACACTCATACACACACACACACACACACACACACACACACACACATTGTTCTCCTGTGATCTCCCCACATCTTGCCCTGCCTGTGCTCACACCTCCCAGTTTTCTGACCAACTGCCTTCTGTACACGCACTGCAGAACCCCCTTTCCAGTCCGTCCCCCCATCTTCCACCCTCATGCACACCCCTAATCCCAGCCCCGTTTCTACAAACACGCCACTCCGCTCTCTGTCCCCCAGGGTGAGCCCACGCCCACATTTGGTCAGGCAGAGAGACAGAGCGATGACACACCCGGTGTCTCAGCCCTGCGTCCACTGCATCCTCTGGGGCCCCCGCATCCTCCATGGCCCCTGGCTGTCCTCAGCTGTACTCCCTCACCCCCTCGCTCTGGCAAAGCCTCCCTTCCCAGCACTTCCAGCCTCAGTCTCCCCCACCGGGAAATCACCCAGGTCCTTTATCCAGACCCATTTTTCTGAACCCCCAGGTCTCCCCTTAGACTCCCACAGGCCCTCAGGAACCCACTTACTCTGTTCCAAGGACACAGCCATCAATCTGCAGCAGACACGGGTCTCCCTCCCTCATCCTGGAATCCCGCTTGCTGCTTCAGAACAGATTGCCTCCCCGGCACTTCCCCTCCCCCGGCTTCTCGTTTTCCATGGCTCCTGAATCCCGGGGCAGTCTCCTCTGTGGTTTCCTGTCCTGTGCTCCCGGTGCCTGGCCGGTCCCCTTCTTTAACTCAAATGGGGAATCAGAGAGAGGATGCTTAGAAGAAAGTTCACAGAATCCTCTGAATGCTTCTTCCCGAAACTCAGCTGGTGCTGAGGCTGCTGGGGTATGTGGCTTCCGCCAGGTCTTCCCCTCTCTCCGCCTTCCTTTCCTCTCTCCCCCTCCTCTCTCCCTTTTTCGCTCCCTTTTTTCCTCGAGGGCCAGGTACTGACGTTTCACTGTCTCTTAGCAACTGCCTCCACATCTCTGAGCAACAGGAGAGCTGGCTATGGACCCCACCAAGAAGAGAGAAAAGAGAATGAAGCAGTGGCAGAATCCATAGCCACCTGCCAGTCTCAGCCATAGGGCAAGGGAGACATGGGGGAGGGGCAGGGGCAGGACAGGGGTGAAGGCAGAGGGGCAGGCAGGGGAGAGTGCAAAAGGGCCCTGGGGGAGAGGCTGGAGTGGGGACAAAGCAAGGGTCCCCTTGATGGAGGGGGTGAGATGGAGGAGGGGGTGTTTATGGGCATTGGGCATTGGGCCCAGAAGGGAAAATAGAGAGGGGTTGGAATGGAGAAAGGAACTTCTTGAGGGGGCAGGGAGAAACTGGGGAAGGCAGTGAAGACATGAAGAAAGATGGAAGGGAATAAGAGAAGTGCATGTGACAAGTTTGCTCACTTGATGGGATATATCTATTCAGTCCATATGTAGCATCTGTCTCCCTGTGCCTGAATATATTTTGGTCACCAGGTAGCAGGTGGCTGGACCAGCTCAGGGCTTATCAGGGACACTTATAGAAAGTGAGACCTTTCTGTGTTCCTTAATTGTCTCTAATTCCTGACCCCACAAACTCAGAGAATTTTGGGTTGCAAAGGGCAAAGTAACAGGTCCAGGTGGAGTACCTGGGGCTGCAAATACACTCAGCTCTGTTTTGGGGAGTGTGGAAACTGCCAGAAAACCTCATGGTCTTGACCTCTTTCTCCAGGACCCCAGGACTCTGCCCCCCCCCACCCCCCGTTCCCATCTCTCTAAGCTCCCTGTCCCTCCTCCCATAGAGTGACCTCACAGGAAGGTGAAGACTTTGCAACGACTCACTGAACACATCTAGCTGACCTGCATTTGAAAAAATAGCTTGACCAGTTGGTATGGTCAAAGAGCTGACTCAGTGCTTCATTTTAATAATTACTTATTAAGCACTGACACGGTGCCTGGTGCTTGGGTACATGGTGGGCATACAGCTGCCAGTAAGATGGGTGAAGACTTTGCCATAACACAGAGTCCTGTGTGTTCACTCAGTTGATCTTCTATTTGAGTAATATCTTAAGTCTTTGGGGGAAACCCAAATTGAGGAATAGAAAACGTGTGTTAAGTTGTACAGATTCTAGGCATGTACATAGTCCTCAGCATCTTCTCTAACATGATGATTCCTTTTGCCTTATACGAGTTCTGCTGCTAAGCATCGTCCTCATATTATGCTCATTTTGAATCTTTCATCTTCTACGGGGCAGAGTAGTATGGTAGCTACTTCATTAATATTTATATATTGAGTTGGCTGAGGTAAATATGATTTGTATCTCCTTGCTTGAAGAACGGAAGAGTTCTTCAACTCATTTATGAGCTTAGAAATAAAATGTTAATCTTAGTGCACAAAACAGAGCAACACATTGAAACAAGTAATTCATTATAAGCAAAGACTATTGGCCTCCATAAGGCAAAGTTAACATTAACATTAAATGAAAAATGACAGAAAATGTAATTATTTCAATAGAGATGAAGAAAGGTAATCAGAACATTTTTTTCTTAAATGTTTTTATTTATTTTTTAGAGAGAGAGAGAGAGAGAGGGAGAGAGCACAAGCAAGGGAGGGGCAGAAAGAGAGGGAGACAAAATCCGAAGCAGGCTCCTCTCTCTGAGCTGTCAGCACAGAGCCCGACATAGGGCTCAAACCCATGAACTGTGAGATCATGATCTGAGCTGAAGTCAGATGCTCAACTGACTGAGCCACCCAGCCTCCCCAGTCAGAACATTTCAATGCTTAGTGTTGACTAAAGGCATATTAAAAAAACAACAAAGAGGGGCGCCTGGGTGGCTTAGTCGGTTAAGCGTCCAACTTTCTCTTAGGTCATGATCTCGCGGTTCGTGGGTTGGAGCCCCACGTCAGGCTCTGTGCTGACAGCCAGCTCAGAGCCTGGAGCCTATTTCAGAGTCTGTGTCTCCCTCTTTCTCTGACCCTCCCCTGCTCATGCAGTCTCTCTCTCTCCTAGAAATAAATAAAAATATTTAAAAAAAAAACAAAGAATGGAGGCTTTCTTCCTTTACATAATATGAAATTTATTGACAATAAGACCAATAATATGAGGAAAGGAAAGTACTTGCGTCAGTTTCCTTAAAAAAATAACTACACAAGAATGCCCTGTCACCATTTGAAACTACAGTTTTCTAGCCTGTAGCATTGGGATAATAACATTGATGGTGTCTAATAACGGAGTTGCTTTATGGTATAGGAGTCATTATTAATAAAGTACTTGGAATAGACACAGTGAACACTACAGACGTGTTTGTTAAATGAACAAATAAAACACATGGCAGAGTATAAAACTGCTGAAATTGTTAGGCAGAAGGGAAAACAAATTGCACAAAAGTGGGAAGTGAAGGAAGGAAAATACAACGCTTGCATGTGATTTGAATATATTCTGGAGCAGGATAAGAAAACCCCCACTGGCCATTGCATACAGTGTCTTCTGTAAAAAAAAAAAAGTGAGGTTAAATGAGAGAAGAAATCTTTTAAATGATCTTTTACCCAGAATCATTCTATGTTAAATACGAAAACATGGTTTCCCAAACTGGTGTCTCATGGTACCCTGCGTGCCGTGACGAAAATGTTTGTTCTCAAATAAGTTGAGTTAAACAAAATGAAACCAATTTATTTATTGCCAGATTTATCAGGGACTTTAATGTTCATATGTTCATGGTGACCCACCAAGGGAAAGGACTGGGGGAGGGGGAAGGATGTATCACATCCAGC